ATATACATGCAATTGTTCTCAACACTCACGAACTAACAAACAAACTCCTATTTGTTAAGTGCAGCTTGACAATAATTGCTACTACGAATCATAAAAGAAACGATGGCTTACGCGCTGTTCAAAAAAATATATACCCACCTCAAGTCGCTTGTGCGTAAAGGACTTAAGCAGCATCAATTACAACTGCGACATTTGATATAAAAAAGGTAAAGCTATCCTGTTACGCCTCATGTCGGCGATCAGGGGAGTGGAGGTTTAGCTCCTACTCATTCTCAACCTCGGTACTAGATGAGGGTGAGTGGTCAACATCACACCCTGTCCGCGCTTTATCCTATTTCTCCTTCTTTATCACGCCGTCTCTTTACAGGAGGTTGGCGACACTTTATGAACAGGATCCTTCCATCCTTTCCTTTTCTCGGACTGGGCCCTGTTCATATACGTTCTTGGCAGATGATCCGGAAGTGGTTTGCCATTGCCTTCTTCTGTGTGTGAATGGAGTAATTGTTGGGATGCCACGGAGGAAAACTCCGTGTTGCCTAGACCACGGCCTTGCCCAACACAAGTTATAAATTTGGGCACGGCCGGGAATCGAACCCGAGACCCCGGGATTACAAGGCCAGCGTTCTAACCGCTAGACCACCATGGCTTTATCGCACTTAATATCAAGTAATTACTATGAAGGAATTTTCTCTGCTATCATTTCTAGGCACATTCACAACTAAATTTGTAAAAATGTGCCTATCGGCTTTCCCTGTACCGGTTGGCCTGTTTGTTCATCAGTCCACATGATGCAATTCAAGAACAGGTTAACACTCGAGTGAAATTCTTTCTGTTGTTGCTTGGCTTTGCACTTTCAGGTAGAATAACTGTTTCTTCTTTTTTTCTTTCTTTAGAAATCTGCAAAAAGTCCTAAAGCACCGTTCCATTGCAAGTTATGCAAGTATCACTGTGACAACATGGCTGTCGTAAAAAAACACATCATCAGTAAACATCATTGCAAAGCAATGGAGGTAATTAATTGCCCCTGTTTCCTGGGCAATATTCAAGAGTATCCATACGACAACTCGGAGCAGTCGTAACTATAAAAATTTATATTTTGGCGTTTAAAAAATCAACATAATTGTGATATAAAAAATAATTTCAGGGAGAAGCTGAGAGGGTTACGATGCTAAACTTGCCTCCACTGACTCCAGAACAGCTGCAGTATCTTGATAGGATTCTTAAGGAAGAAGTTGGACTGCATGGTCTAAGCGACGGCGATATACTTGCTCGGCGGAATATCGCAACCGTTCTTTCAAACTCTATTGCAGAGGCAATGCCTGGTACGTATCGTGAGGTGAAGTAAAAAAAAGGACTCTCTGTTGAATCATCTTCTTCTATGGCTCTCCGGTCCATGGCCTCCTAAGTTCTCCTCTTCCATTCGGTCCTATCCTCCGCTTCTCTGTTAGGTCCGTCTGTCCGAGGCTTTGATTGAGGTTTCGAAACATTTTCTTTTTTATGGTGCAAGGTTCTTAGCCTTGCGACCGACCAACCCCCAACCTGGAGGACCCTCTGCTGAATGAGAACACACATGATATTTCCTACTGCGCTCTGGAACTAGAAATGATGTGTGATGGCCCCGCAATTTTCCATCCACATTTATCCTTACAGAACAGTGAGTTTATTATGATTCTCATCGTAAAAGCAATTTCCTGTTAAAATCATAGTTTTTCTTCTCAAGGATTAATATATTTTCTAATGACAAACGGAATGCTGGAAATGATCCGTACAGCCACATATGCGAGCAGCTGATGGGTTAAGTATGTTAAGATTGTAATCTCTTAACCCTACTACTGTGACGTAGTTAAGAGAAGTGACAAATGCTGACAGTTGAAGGTACCACAGTACCATTCGTGTGCGTTCGGTTGTGTCGGGTAAAATAATTTCGGAGCCGTTACTTAAAATCTTTTACTCCACTGTAACAAAATTATGCATAAGTCCTGAATTTGCCTTAATAAAGAGAATATTATGGTATATATCTCACATTTCATTTGGCTGGGTCGGTACCTACCACATTTTTGTTGGGTCAAAATAAGTTATGGCCTTTCTGTTTCCTTGCCATTATGACACGGGTTTTTACATTCCATACTGTAATTTTTTTTTGTACCGTCGGGTCGGAGCCGACCCCTGGTGACATTATGAGCAAGTTGCCTCCGATAGGGACCTGTTCATATGTTTCCTCGGCATATGATCCAGAAGTGGTTTGCCGTTGCCTTCTTCTGTGTGTAAATGATGATGAAAATGGAGTAATTTTTGGGATGTCACAGAGAAACTGGGGAAGCCCCAGAGGAAAACTCCGTGATACCTGGACCACGGCCTCGCCCAACACAAGTTGTAAATCCGGGAATCTAACCCGGAACCCCTGGATTACAAGCCCAGCGCACTGACCGCCAGACCACCATGGCGGTCGCCTTCTTGTTACTATAGAGTTATTATATGCCCTGTGTTTCAGGCTTCACAGTAAGGTTATATGGCTCGTCAGCTTCAGGATTTGGACTAAAGAAATCAGATGTGAACTTGGAATTGTGTGTTCCTCCTGAAAAAAGCCCTTCTAAAGGATTGACAGATGCAAGTAATATCATTGCCATCCAGGCGTATTACAGGTATGCATTGGATGTAACATTCATACATGTAAGATTTGAGGTTTCCACAGCGTTGAGTATGAAGATTTCTGTCTTCTGGGTTGCTCTACATTATTTCGGAGAAATATTCATATTGTGTCATCATTGTATAAATGCAAGAAAAACCTTGATACAAAAAAGGCATTGCACCTACATATTCATTACAGAATGCACTGCATTTTTATTGGTTTTGAACCACATATTTTCAACTCATTTTTAATTCCCAGGAATGTTGAACGTGACTTTACCGCAAAAATTCCAGCTGTACAATTCATTGACATTGGTACAAACCTGCCTTGTACTCTGATTCTCTGCAATAATCATTCATACAAGGTAGCCGAGCTTTTTTCAAAATATGCATCAATAGATGAACGTGTTCAAGCGCTGGGAGTTGCATTCCGTCTCTGGGCTCAGGTAAGCGGTTACACATTTATTAATATCACGTTTTGAAATTTTATGTTTCCACGGCAGTGAAGACGTCAAGCGTCAACTGCTGTATGGATGCCTACTACCTGCATGTCCACATCTAGTTTTAACCCAGTAGATCGACATTTGTATGTGAAATCTTGGGAAGACAAGATTCAAAATGTCATCTCTGGAGGACATTAAAATTTCACTGGTGTTCTTTACACTGCACACGTGTGATGACATGAGTTGGGCAGTCGAGGGAATAAAAAATGTAATGTTTTATTCAATATTATTTGCCGCAAGGGAAGTGTGTTAAGCAGTTATTAACTGTTGTATCAACACATCAGTTAATAACTGCCTAATATGGCCTCAAAATTTCATCGATTTCATTCTAAATGGCGTGAGTTTGGAAGGATGGGAGGAGGAACAGTTGTGGCCCTTAGAAAGGAATTGTCTCAGAATTTGCTTAGATCAGGAAGAGCCTGAGAAATATCAGTCAGGATACCTTGTTTCCTTGACAGGATTTGAACCAGGAATCTTTAAAATATCGAACACGATTGTGAGACACTGCACTGAAAAGTTCACTGATATAAATTATGTCCAATTTCTTTTATGTTTGTTTGTTATATATGTACTGGTATAAGTGTGTGGATGGCTGCAAAATTGTTGTTCCTACAGCGCTGCAGGCTCGATAGTGCCGAAGCTGGCATGTGGCCACCGTACGTGTTCCCGCTGTTGCTCATATACTTCCTTCAACAACTTAGAGACCCAGTTTTACCAGTATTACACGAACTTGTAGACACCGCAGATGTTGAGAATGCATCTGATATCTATTTAGGTAAGAATTTATTCATAATATTTATTTCATAAATATATTTTAATTTTTATTTATTTATTTATTTGTTTTGGTTAATATTGTTTATACGTATAGTGGGACAGCTTTACTTTACTTTACTTTTATGTAACATCATCCATGTCAGTTGTTTAAACTTGTATAGATATGTGTTATTATGCAGGTAACAAAATGAATGTCCAAGTTATTGATGCCATTAAGCTAAAAAGTTTAGCTATTTTTCAATTTTGTTACCATATTTCAAAAAAAAAATTCTTTATGGCGTATTTCTGTATTTGGGACTTTTCAAATCATGATCTCACACACATTTGTATACGAACACCAAATTTAGAGTGTATATAGTAATGCAGTCCTTGTCGTGGTGGTGGGGCTTGAGTACCTCAGTGACCCCAAGAGCTACTGGTAGGGCCTCCCTAGCCAGATTGGTCGAGGGGGAGAGGTCAGACTAAGACAGGTACCCTGATCCTCCAGGTTGGTGGTTGGTCGCAAGGCTAACAACCTTGCACCGTAAAAAGGAAGATGTTTCGAAAACTCAATCAAAGCCTCGGACAGACGGACCTAACAGAGAACCGAATGGAAGAGGAGAATTGAGGAGGCCATGGACCAAATACGGACCGGAGAGCCATAGAAGAAGAAGAAGAAATGTCCCCACCTCATTTTAGCTTTGTGTAATTAATTTGTTGTTGATTTCAGATCCCGGAAACCTTGAACAAAAATGGAAGTCTGTGAATACTATGTCTTTGGGTGAGCTGTGGCTGGAAATGTTCCGGTTTTATGCGTTGGACTTTGACATCTCTGGAAGGATCATTTGCGTACAACAGTCGAGCCCTCTGCTACGAAGTGGCAACATGAAGACTTGGGCTGGAAAGAAAATTGCAGTAAGAGGTTTGTGCTCCATCTTCTTAGGTATAAGAAATTATCCTCTTTACTTTCATGCAGGCCTGCGCATTTTCCGTTTTACCGTAAATAAGGTAACATATGCGTGTAAGAGCCAAAGCCAAAAATGATTGCTTCCCTGTATCTAATTCTATGGTCTGAGAATCCTTGGAGGACTTCCTCCATTTTCATTCAACGGCATGTTGTTCTGGATCTCTCAGTATAGCTATCTTATTGTAGTTAATAAGAAATGGGTACATGGCAAGTGATTTGAATTTGAAATTGTAAATATGTTCATCTATTTTAAGTGTTTTCTGTTTCAAACAGTTTACTCGTAGCGGTATTTTATTTCAGATCCTTTCCTGCCTAAACGGAATGTGACGCGAAGCATGTCGGCACCAGTGAGCTTTACGTACTGCATAAGTTGTTTCCGAAACACGTACAAGTACTTCGGAATTCTTCGTACGAAAGACGGGCCCATTTTTGATTTGATATCTGTGGACGTACCGAAAGAATTGTCACCGAATAAAGAAACTGCTGCTGCAGATAAGGTTATCGTGAACAAGAATGACAGTCATCAAAGTTTCAGCAAAAATGATGGTACCGTCATGACTGTGTCTGAGCTGGAAGAGAAACTTAAGAATGCCTCACTCGGAAACTATAAAAGTGGAGACAGTTTGGTGTCAGTTTCACTTCAAAAAGCACAGGAGATATTTTCTTCTTTCAACAGCGCATATCTGCATTATGAGTTTCTTGACGAGAACTTTGTTGGAAATCAGGTGCTCATTACTTTACATAATTATTAGTCTGAGGTGTATGTAAACATCATTATTTAATATTTTAAAAAGAAAATTATTTTTGTTAAAATATTTGACGTTTAATCTCACGCAACTTTGTGGCGTTGATCGAACCATATCAACTAACGCGCTAGATTAAAGTACGTACATCTGTCACCCTTTTTCAGCGTTTTGCGAAGGAGAACATACTTGCCTATATGTAATACCTGTATTTTTTAACTGAAATAAGCGTAATTATGGCATATGAACCTCAAATTTGGTGTGAAAATATTAAATCATTTTGCCGTCAGCGTGAATATTTTGTTTCGGTTTTAATTGCCGTGTACTTTGCGAAATATGTTTGTTTACAAATTAATGGTCATTTGTGGAAACCATTTTCAGAAATACCCAGACATTTGCAGTTTATGCCAGAAGGAAGGTCATAGCAAAGATCAGTGCAAGGAAGAGCAACTACTTCACTTTGATACAACCTTACCACCATTGGAAGAGTGTTATAGACAAGCGCTGGATGAGTTATGTGCACAGATACTAGGTGAGAAATAAGATTTCTTTGCGTTGATGCCACTGTCAAGAAATTTCAAAGGAGCGAGGATTTTAGTTTCAATTTCTTCTACAGACGTCAAGAATTCTGGGAAATTCTAATGTAATTAACGTTGTAGATGTTATGTCGTAAGACCCAAAATCCCTTAACAACTTTACCACGGCAACATTAAAATTATCAATGAACAAACACTTGTCAGTGGTACTTTTCATTGATTAAAGTTATTATACAACTGCTGTTCTTTATTTGACAAAAAAAAATGTTTATTTACCTCTTAAGAAAATTGTGGTGGGGTCCACAGTGGCCGCTCGGTCTGAGGCGTGGGTCTTGTGCCGCCGTTGTTCAACAAAATGGCGGTCATACTGAATATGTGTATCAATAAATTTTGCATCAGAAGTTGTAGACTTTGCAACATTTGATGCTTAAATTAATTATTTTTGTAACATTGTTATGTGTCGGTATTTTATGTATCAACTTTAAACTTTCCATTTGAAGTGATATCAACCAGGAGGTAGCACAGAGTTAAAAGTCCCTTCGTCATATGTAAAGATATAATTAAATTAAGTCAAAACTATTTATTGTTCAGCAAAGTGGGCAATAACGTCAGAGGAATTGGAGATAAGGAAGAGAATCGCCTCGGACATAAAAGAATATATTTTGCAGTATTATCCAACTGCAAAACTGGACCTCTTTGGCTCTTCTTGCAATGGTTTTGGATTAGTGAAGTCTGACATTGACATCTGTCTTACCTTCACAGACAGTGAAACTGGCAAGGTAGGATTTATTTCATTTAGTCTGTATCATAACGTACTTACCTTGTTTACCCAACTATAAGGTGTCATTATTCCTTAATTTTTGTATAAAAATAGAGGGCTCTCATATGTTTAAAAATGGGGAATATATTAAAAGATAACACGTGATTAATGGTTTCTGTGAAGATTGACTTAGACCCATAACACTCTCGTTGCCAGTTTCTCCGGTTCACTTATGTTTCAAGAAATTGCAAAAGATGATACATACACTGTCTGAAATAGACAGAAGATCTGTGTGCTCAGAATACATTCCGAGAGAACAAAGCACTAGTTAACAAACAAACTTTGATTCTTGAGTGAAAATGTTAAGCTATAGATAGGAACCTGAGAATAGCTGATAACTAATAATCCAGACCTGGTGTATGTTTTTGTTCTCGACTAGGAACATGACTTTGTGAAGGTAATAGAGGACCTGCAAGATAAACTAAAGAAATTTGGTGTGTTGAGCAACTTGGTTCCTATCACAACAGCCAAAGTGCCAATCTTGAAGTTTCACCACGCGCAGTCTAAGCTGGAGGGAGATATAAGCATCTACAACATTCTAGGACAGCAGAACACAAAGTTGCTGAGAACATACGCAGAAATTGATCCTCGTTTCAAGGTACGTATTCAGTACAATCATTTGTTTCCAAAATTCGTCGTCAAATTGATTTTTGTATTGTTTATTTTTTTATGTCTGCTATACATTTGTTAATTTTAATGGTTTAAGGCCAAATGTTTGATTCATAATTCTGTATATCTATGAGACTATATGACATCATAAGCCGGAAGACCACAATCCAAGTATTTTGTTTTTTCTTTATTTTCCTTGAGGGTGTCATTTTTGTTGACAGTAATCGATGTGTATGTTTAGTTGTTGTTCCTTGGCTTTACAACCCATTTGTGGGCTTTCGCTATTCGGAGGTTTCCTAGTCTTCGAAGTGTGCATTTGTGAGTAGTGAGTGACTGGCCCACTGACACTGCACAATTTCTACTCGATCCTGATTTGACTGCCAGAGCCATCTAGTAGTGAATCAGGAGAGACTTGGGTGAGAAATGGCCACTGAATTTGGCCTATGAAACATCTCGTTCATGCTTGCAAGTTTCTTTTACATGCCGTAAATCCGTGACATGGGACTGCCGGCATTACTTCCCCTCCAAAGGAAATTGTGCTATGGATTTTTGTATGTTTAGTTAATGACCTTAATTATAACTACCCATGTATTGAGCAAGTCCTGCGCTGTAGCCGCGCGGTCTGAGGCATCATGCTTCGGACCGGTGATACGGAATGCGGGCTGGTTCGAGTCTCGGTGGGGAAAGAAATTTCTCATGAGATTTTCTACCGGTGTATGTGACCGGTTCCAACCCAGCATTGTGAGATAATTGGGGAGCTACAGTGGGTAGCGTAATCCGGTTGTGGAAACTAGCAATAGCTGGGGGTTCGTCGTGCTGACCACACATCATCCTATATCTGGTTGGATGATCGTTCACCTCTGCTTAGGCATGTGAACGTGAGGCCAGCAGTCAAGCTAGTCAGCCTTGGCTCTCAGAGGGCTGTTGCGCCACGGATTATTTATATGTTGAGCATATATATATATATATATATATATATATATTTGAGAAAAAAGTGTGAATTGTATAACAAGGTAATATGGTGAAAAGTGTTGAGTGACTCTAATTGTTAAATGTTTTGTTTCAGATGCTTGGCTACATGCTAAAGAGATTTGCGAAAGTTTGTGACATGTGTGATGCGTCACGGGGTAGTCTGTCTTCGTATGCTTACATCTTAATGGTGATATATTTTCTTCAGCAATGCTATCCTCCTGTATTACCAGTATTGCAAGAGGTGGGGATATTTTATTTCACTAAATATAAACCTAACCTAACCTTAGAGCCATAGGTTATGCAGTAATGCCCAGTGACCACAGTCCCAAGATAAGAAGCATCAAATTTTTGAAAATAAAACATTTGTCTCTTTATAAATAAGAACAATGTGTAATGCAGAAAGAGCCTTGCATCGCTGGCCGTATTGGATTGTGGCAAGCCTAGCGGATTCTACGTTATTGGCTGTTGGTTCACTGGCCAGAGAGTGGTTGAGGCAGTTTTTTTTACTGAATGTCGGTGAGATTGTGTTATTTTAAAATAGTTTTAAGAAGTTCTATGATTTTTTTTTTTTTTCCAGCTATCAGAAACTAAGCCGAAACCACAGAGATTAGTAGACGACTGTGACACGTACTTCTATGACAACTTGACAAATTTGGTAAGTTCAAATGTCGGTTTATGATTAGTCATCATTATTATGTTCCAGTGGTTCCTCACTCCTATATTAAAAATTTGAAATTGGGACATGAGATTCATGTTTATTTTTGTGGTTTTGTATAAAATACGTGATGAATTTGGGATTTTAAATTTTCTAAGATCTTTTGTGAAAAAATATCAGTGTTTTATATTTCAGTCGCAATATAGAAAGATATTTTTCACGGGTTAATCCATTAATATACTTACAGCTAACAATGGCAGTTGCTGCTTGGTGCCAGCATCTGTTCGTATCATCTTAGCTAGCCATATAATTGTTTTTATCTTCCCAAATACTTTGTGAACTTGGAGAGTGTTTCAAAAAAAACATGTGGTTTGATGTATGTACAAAAATTCAATTTTTCCTTTTTATATACTGAGCTTGATTGATATGTAGCAGTATGTTTACTTTCATATTCCTCTAAAATGCATGAAGATATGAGATTATTTCATTGTCTTGTAGAAGAAACTGTGGCCTGAATATGGACAGAATATTAGCTCTGTGGGTGAGCTGTGGATTCAGTTGCTGCGTTTCTACAGTGCAGAGTTTGATTTTGGAACCTATGTTATTTCAATAAGACAGAAGGAACGTCTTCCTCGCTTTGAGAAACTGTGGACATCAAAGTGTATGGCCATTGAAGATCCCTTTGACCTGAGTCACAACTTGGGAATAGGTCTTTCACGAAACAGTAAGTACTTTGCTAGAGATCACAAAAGTGCTGAGGTGTTCTAAGATTTAAATCCTTGAATTTATTTAATATGTTTTATTTTTTCTTAAAAACATTGTTATATAGGACATCCATTGAGATGGTTTGCTATGTGTTTGGCGATTTTCCCTTCTCACACACACACGCATTACACGCAATGTTTATAACAGATATCTCTTGTATCCACCGCTGTATTAAGAACAGAATGGGGTGTATCCATTTATAAATGAACAGGGAAGTCCCTTTGACACAAAAGCGATTCATGGTGATTGGATGGTGGCAGGGATAGCATAAGGGTATTTGGTGCCTTACATGAACCTTTAGCCTTGCCGCACCCTCCCCCTGATGAAGGCATAATGTACCACTAAAACATTATTCTGTATAAGAAACAGATTTTTTACAGAGGATGGTGATTAAACTCGTGATGCCTGAAATTAAAGGTTTTATGTAGTATCCAGTCTCTTCTGCCTGAAGCTTGAATGTGTTTATTTACAGTGCATGTCTACATCGTAAAGTCATTCAGGAAAGGATATGTACACTTTGGGACATCTCCAGCAGACGTTGCTCTGATGACAAAAAGTCCTGAGGTAAGAAACTCTTTGTGTCCTTTGTAACCTATCGTCTTTCAGTTCATGTGACATGGCTTCAGTTTCCCTCTGTTTTTCCCAATTTGTCAAAACTGTAATTATGTTGGTTATTTGGTTAATTAAGCCTTCGTGGTGACTAAGTGTAAATAAATAAAATAAACCAAGAGAAGTGCAATAAGTTTTTAAGGTTTGTTCTTGTGTAAACTGATATTAGTAGGAGTTGAGTATGTCGTCCAAGAATTTGTCACATCCGCAGAACAAAATAACTTGTTTGTTGCAGGAATACTACTTCAAATCAGAGAAGCTAACAAGTGGTAATCCACCAAATGACAGAGGTTGCCGTATATGTAAGAAAATTGGTCATCTTTGCAAAGATTGTCCGCAGAAAAGACAGGGTCGACAGAAGAGAACTGGACACAGGATAGCAGGTGGAGTTGGAAGAAGGCACCCCGAGTCCTCGCCGGTAAACGGTCCAGGTAAAATGTGGAATTTCAACCCCATGAACGCTTCTCCGAGAGGCTACAATCCTCCATATGGGCTACCTCATGGCCCCATGCATGGTGCTCATTATGGTCGAGGAATGTTTCACAGCACCAGGGAGCTGCCACCATACCGAGGGGGCTACAATCCTGTACGTGGCAATTTTAGAGCCCAGGATCCATCTGGCATGAGATATGGCATGCCTCATGCTTCTCCACCTTTTAAACCTCATACCTCCTCTTTGGATATGAGTAGAAAAATAGGTGCATCGGGTCTGCCCCCATTTGGAAGAGTTCGAGGGAGTGTGGGACCAGTATTTGGTAATGAACAAATTAGTCTGATTGACAGAAAACTTCCTGTAGGTTCACATGTTGAATTGAGAACTGACCAGGGTTTACAAGAATGTTATAAAGTGGCACATCGTTTGGGTCTGATTAAAAACAAAAATCTGAGTAGAGATTTAAATCACTTGAAGCCCAAAGGAGAGATTCGTCATGTGCCAAACTTGGCAAATGACATTGTTGTAATGGATTTTTTTCCACACAGTCAGAGGTAAATTCAGTATGATGAATATAAAATTTTGGCTTGAGCTAAAATTGCATGCGCTGGAAATATTTACGGTGGTGAACATAGCAATGGTAGATTTGTCAATACTATGTGTACTACTGAACCATCAGAAGGAGGTTTATGGTAAATTTTAATTTGGCACCTTATAATCTGGAATTTTGTGCAAAGTGACAGCACCTGAAACGGCTGCGGATTTTTAAAATATGATGGACCATTTTTTATCCAGTCAAAACTTTAGTAGTGATTACATTAACTGCTCTACTTTTAACATTTATGTGTCTTTCTAAAACCTTTTACTAGCCCCATCCCACCTTCTCACATTTTTAAATAGGAACACATGCCTTTTACTTTGTATGTGTGATTTGTGTAATTGATGTAGATTTGTAACATGCCCCTTTAATGGACATGATTGTACATTAGTGAATAATTGCCAATTATGGTAAGGAGTGATCACTTTTTTTAGACACCTCATAGGCATAGATCTCAATCAGTAGTATACTGTTTATTGAGTTTGAGGTCCTTTGTTCCGTGCCATAGTTCGTATGACACATTTTTCACAACCAAAAACTCTACATGTCAAAAAAATTTCTTTTAAGATATTCTTATAATTATAGTTTGTAAGTGGAATTTTATTTGCCTACATACTTCTGTCTCTTGATTACATTTTATGTACTGACAGCTATTGAATGATACTTTTTATAAATGTTACTTCATTGATTTTTTTAAATTAAGTAGTATCAAAAACACTATTTTTATGTTATTTGTGTTTTTTGTAGGTATAAATACAAAACTGTTCCTGGAAACCATTTGGTTCCCAGACAATTCTATATAAAAGGACACAGATTTTATAGTGTGTAATAAAATGTATAGCACAGCACTTATTTGTAATACTGTTTTCTATGATTATGTCTGTCTGTCTAGAAAAGCACATCAGACCAGCCTTAGACTACCATGCTGGTTGATATATAGACATGCATTATTCAATTAGTACAACTTCCTGAGAAATATCAGTGCATTCATCTTTTTATTTGTGTCGTAGATGAATTCCTGGAAAACACCATATGAATGAGCAGCTAATTTTCCAGATTGAGGTTAGGGATGTATGAGCCAAACCAATCCAGAGAATTTAACTCCTAGGTGATTAACAGTTGCAGACATTTATTCATATAAGATGTGTATACTTCTTCTTCCTCCTCTTCCTCGGTCCTACAGCCCAGGGTGGGCTTTGGCCTCCCTGGGTTTTGTAACAATATTATTTTCCCAGGGTGGAGTTGTTTGCCCCATGCCCAACCCCCAACCTCAAGGTCCAGAATATCACTCTTACTCTGGCGCATGTCCTTCGACCTGTACGGCTTGGGTGACCCTACCAGGAGCTGAGGTTCCCTGCCGGCATAGCCCTAATTATCATTTGCACATGCAAGCCTTCTCATCTGGCAAAATTTGCTTTCAACAAAGTGGTGATACCTTCAGGAGGAAAACATCTATACACTTTTGTGTAATGTTATGTTAATGTTTTAAAAAAGTGTTTTTATATTAAAAATTCAATGTTAAATTCTCCGTTGCCTACCGTACTGGCCTGTTACTAAACGTGTTAAAAACTAAAACGTAAATTACAAATTACGGAGTGTTGACTTTCAGAATTGCAGAAATATGTGAGAATTTGTTTGCTTAAGTAAAGTGAAGTGGATCATATTGAAATTAAACTTATACATATTCTGTATTATGATAAGTGTCTTCATTTCATCAATTTTTATTTCTTTATTCATCTTGTTATTTATTAACATGTATGCATAAGAAATTGTATTTGTACAAATATTATTTTTGGAACGAAATTAAAATCTGATTTTAAACTTCACAGTGATTTGTTATTCATAATTATCCTTCCTCTGGTGATAGTACCATGTAGAAGTTATCATACTGCCAACATTGCAGAGGATCATACTACTTCCCATCCTGATGATGGAGACAGTATGGCTCTCTAAAGATATATTTACATTTCTGTGTGTTTTACAAGGTTAAGAGTGGCATTTTTTGGCCTTGCCATTCAATACTATGAAAAATAGATTAATTTTTCACTGTGCGTTGATTGTATCATTAAAACTAGCATTTTATGGTAATTCTACCAGAACTGAATGACCTACTGTCAGATTCAGAGTTCCTCCAAATTCTATTAAAGTCAAGCAGCAACTGACTTTATCAGACATAAAGAGTTTCTGTATTACAGTCAAGCAGCAAGTGATCTATTGTGGTCCAGTGTCAGGGACAAAGAACAAGTGAAGGTAAGAACACATTCATTTCTCTGACACTAGATGAAAGTTAGCTCCAGTACAAATTGTATGAAAGGGTCGATGGACTCCAGCGCCAGTGTGGGCATTGTGATAAATCATCCCATGCTCTGAATAGAAATGAAACCAATCATCCAATATCATTATTAGATAAATGCTCACCGATACGAGCTTCTTTGCGGGTTTCGTCTACCTACCTTGACGAGTATATAATTTTCTCTGGCATTGTATTGGAAATACGGTTGGCGACATTGTCATTCAATCAATACCGCCAATTTAAAATGGTTTCGTATTTCTAGTGATGGAGTTACTAAAAACTGTTAGTATACGAGTTTATTTACTGGGGGTGTTTGAATGGTGATTAAATATGTGAAAGTGCATCCATTGTGCGTATGGCCAAGTTTAGTTATCGGTGAGTAAATTAAGAATTCTGTGTTTTGTAGGTTATGTTGTTTGGGAACTGCTGAAGAAGACAAACTAAGTTATAATAGTAGCCGTCACCAAATTGTACGCATCAAGGTAACAGAAAATTCGTACAACGTTTCAACACGAGCAATAAAGATGAAGACAGCTCACATCTCGCAGCGTAGCTGTGCTATTGATTTATGCTGCACGGTAACGGGGCTGAAGACTTTCCGTGGTCTTGAAGCATGCAATTTGGTGACAGGTGCAGATATGTGTATATTCTTTAATAATCCTGACACAAAGCAAAGGAATTTTATTGTGCATTTTTCACTAGAGATAAGGACTTGATTCAAAATTACATTATGATGTAGGCTATGCCTTGGATTTTCTATTTTGTTTGAAATTTGAATGGGAAGGAAAACATTATCATACAAAAAGAAGATTGGTAAGATGATAAATAACAATAGATATCTTTTTATAATTTGCAACATGTTGAATTTTAATTTAACTATAGGTTCAGTTATTCAGCCAACACCCAGTAGCACATTTATGTCATATTAGTAGGGAAATAATGTCAGTGATTTACTATGAATTTGGCACAGGCCTACCCATGAAATTTGTAAAGTTAAATACAATATGTTTAAACAAAAGATATATTAATGCCAGTACAGATGAACATTTGTGTGATACATTTCCTATTCACAATAATCTGGAAGCAAGAGATTCTTTGTCACTATTACTTTCATTTTTGCTTTTGAATATCTCTTGGAAGGAGGGATTGAAATTGAATGGGGCAAGTAGAATTTTAATCTGTGTCTAGTCAGTCAAACTTGTTAAAATGAATGCCACAATACTGAGTAGTAGCGAGAACTGTAATTTTGAAATGCATAGTAAAACTATCATAAGATCTAGTGCAAGTAGAGTTTGGCAGTGGAAATAACCCTAAGAGTACTGTCACTTCCTTATTCGAGAGAGGTGAGCGATGGATTCTGCAAAGTTTGAATGCAGCATTCTTACCCTCACTTCAGGTTTTTTATCTGTTGGTCATATAGTAGACTGAGAGTGTTTGATAACTGCGCTCTGAGGACTCATATGTCTCAGGATGTGTCCAGTGGCACGCACTTGTGTACATGGTAATGAACCTTCAGGTTTTATAAGAAATAAGGAATTTCTTAACTGGCTGAGCAGCTGTGACCTTGTCAATGATTCCGCTCCATGGTGTTTGTTAGTTACTCTATTATTCCCATTTAATTGGATGTCAAAAACATTTATTTTTTATCTCTTGTCACACATAAGTATAGCTGTACCATAGCTCAGGTGGTTAGGTGCTGTTATTTCTCTGTGAAGACATGGGTTCAGTCCTCTGTGACTTCAGATGAGATTGTAGCGGATGAAGTGGCATTGGATTTGGTTTATCTTCGCTTCAGGTGTCCACTCTTAATGCCAATTTCACCATGTTGCTCCATACTCATCAGTCATGACATCACAGTGGGGAAGAGAAAATTCACTACTTGTGGGTTATCGGGACACATCGCTTTAAAAATATGTTAGGTTAGGTTAGGTTAGGTTAATGTGTGTGGATAAATGACATATACTTGAAAGTTATTATATTTTATTTCAATAAATGACAACTAACCTAACATAACCTAACATATTTTTAAAGCGATGTGTCCCGATAACCTAAAAGTACCGAAAATTCCAGCTGAGAAATTAAACATCATCGTCTGTCTAGTCACGATACTCTAGCCCCTTTATCTGTCTGTATAATAGACGAGTGTTAGTTATGTGGTGATCATTTTATGTAAATCACTGTGAGACTACAGGCTGTATAAAAACATAAGTTTATCTCAAACATAAGATTTATTAATTCACTCTTGTCTATTTACAGTATATTCTTATTAACAAACATTAGTATCTATCTTGAGCCAGCCGAATCCAATCGCTTGTTCTTGTGCCCGTAATCCTAACAGCAAATGAGTGGAGATGTAAGAAAGATGAACAGGGAATAAGAAAGAGTAGATAAGAAGTTGGTACGACGTGTTCAGATTTTAGCGAAACGTAATTCATTAAGTTGTCCATAAGACGTGAGCTCGGGTGAAAGGAGCGGGGGTAGAAGAAGGAAAGATGGAAGTTTGGCGCAACGCAACGCGACTGAACTTCAACGCAGACCGACCTTATCGATTGGTGGCAGTGTGGCGGGGTGCGTCGGTCAGTGTGCCTGCTTGATTATAGTCGGTGTACTTTCTATTCACTTCTAATTTTTTTTTACAACAGAACTATAAACAATTTTTTTTATCTTCTGTGGCCTTTAGTTGTGTTGATCAAATACGCAGAATTTCTCATGATTGGTTCATTTTGGAACTTGTGCAGAACGTGTCCTTCAATGCCAGTTGATAAGGTAAGAGAACTCTGCAGTGCGTTACAGGAAGTATTCTGCGCCTGCCACTTCGATTTCTTTGACGCCTGCCATTTGAAATATATTTTAACTTAAATGTGTAAATTCTTCTGCATTACGTCCTTTAAAAAAAGAATTAAAATAATATGGGTACATTTTATCTGAAAATAATACGTAGTTCGTGGGATCCGGGTTACATTCTTCAGACTTACTTTCAAACTGTAAAGTATTCGGCACAAATTCTGATGTTTCAATTGATGATATGTAAATTATAATGTGGTAATTCCACCGCCGTGAAAATCTCAGATCGTACTGACATATGTTTTGGTTGTATGTTTAGTTTTTAATACTCGCTGTTGGAGAAAAAACAGGCCTATAGGCTGTTGGAACTGAAGTTTGTCGAAAAAAAAAAGTTTTGTCCATAATTTAAGTTGTTGTTTTTTTTAGGAAATTTATACCTGGTGTAGCCTATTTTAAAACCTTTCCCCGCCGATCCTAAAGTATTTTATCAGTTAATTTTAAAATACGAATTTAAACGTTTGAATTGTTTGACAAGACGTGAAGGTACAGACTGCTTACTTGTGTTAACATCAGTCTCGAATTTGATAATGGTTTCTTCTTTTGTGTGTGTGTGGTTGCAGCTTCACTCGGAGTACAGGAGCACGTACAGATGGCACGAATACATGGGCCAGGAAGTTGTCCGTAGACCCCCGCAACCCTCCACAGGTCGGTCCATCAAAGTGTCAGCTCATACCTTTTATTAAATCTTCGTTAATTCCAGCGCTGTCGGTCAAAACAGAATTCATTTTTAGCATTTTTCTCTCTAACCACATCCGATTGACAGTAAAGTACATGACGGCTGTCAAATGCAGCAGTTTTATTTTTTTTATTTCGAATTATATGAGAGGATGATCGTATTAGGTCAAATTGAGAGTATCTGGGGACCTGCTACGTATTTGACCGTACGCTCCTGGAATTCGCCTGGACGGTCAGAGGGTCGAACAGGGGAACTCCCGATTTTAATCGTACATTATCACTTCAGAAAGTTGAATTATGGTAACTATTCTAAAGACGGTGGTTGAGTTTTTGTCTGGGGGTTGCGTGATTTTAGGCTAAGTGGACGTTTCTGGAAGATCTATCTCATATTTGTAAATCATTGATCAATGATCATTTACCTATAAATCATCACCCGAATAAATTAATTTTCGAAGAATGGTATGAGAAATTTATAGAATTCGCTGATCATCTTTGTGTTTAAACCTTCATTAAATAATTTGATACATCGTAAAGATCAGTGACGGAAGAGGTCTATGACCTTTGACATCGAGGTTTTCTGTCCCCAGGTTAATGTCAGAACGTACGAGAGAATAGGTTTTGGCCCCGTGTAGAATTGTAGGTAGATGCTAACTTTTCGGAAAAACATCGTCTCCATTTTCAGTGCTGAAGATGGGAATTAGTATGTTTCTCCTAAACGATGCCATCTACACGGCCTCAAAACCCCCAAAAAATGAACATTATCACAAGTGTGACAAATGTTGGCGTGTTTTAGGGCAAAAAAAAAAAATCTGTGAACCATCCAGAAACCTAGAGGCGTTAGTCATCTCAATTTCTTTGAAATTGGTAATTTTTTTCGGTAATTGCAAGTCAACTCGTTGAAGTTTTTGGTTAAAAAAAAAGGTATTTTCTCGGGATTTAATAAGTGATTTAGACGAAAATTAAACTGTTTTGTTATGAGCTTTGCCCCAATATGTTGTGGTTACATTTAAAGGCCAATATACCGTGTATTAATATCTGCGGGATGCGGTTTGATACATTTTTTTTACGTTGTAGGTGGCAATCCTTCGAAACTTCAAACCGCGAAGTCTGTAGAGGACGAAAGTCATCCAGGTAAGTGCTTACTTCCAAAGAACACAGCAAGAGTTTGACGTCTAAGTCGCCCGATCAAACTTTCGTATAAAAATGTTTCATACCAGAATAACTCTCCTCTGAAGATGGCTTGTCTTCTGGGTTTTAGCTTCGTATTGTCTGGTAAAAGTTTCAGAGGTCCTTGCTGCTTCCATCTTCAGGGCGATTATCGCGTCGGTAAACTTCTACCAGACAATACGAAGCTACAACCCAGAAGACAGCCATCTTCAGACTCACCGCTATGAAAACCTCAAATCTTACGCTGTTTTCTGTTTATAGCATCGCTTAAACACTTTATGCATTATATACAGGGTGATTCTAAAAGGACTTTCGTATTGTCTGGTAAAAGTTTCAGAGGTCCTTGCTGCTTCCATCTTCAGGGCGATTATCGCGTCGGTAAACTTCTACCAGACAATACGAAGCTACAACCCAGAAGACAGCCATCTTCAGACTCACCGCTATGAAAACCTCAAATCTTACGCTGTTTTCTGTTTATAGCATCGCTTAAACACTTTATGCATTATATACAGGGTGATTCTAAAAGGACTTTACAACTTTGAAAGTGTATAGAGATTTAATCAGAAAGCTTACAGAATCGGTTGAGGTGTCATTTTGTAGCAAAACAAATGTAGTATAATCTTTTAGTTTGCATTCATACTGTTGTATTTCTTGTATTTATAAATCTAAAAATGAAAGATTTAATTTAGTTAGATGTTACATCTCGTTTTATGTTCCTTCTCGTTACGAAGACGAAAATAAGATACGTAATTTACTTAGATGTCTGTATAATGTTTTCTTACATTGAAAGATGAGCTGGTCATTTCAGATTACTGAATTGAAAACATTTATTTTTAGGCTCTTTATCAACCTTCAGAGCTCCCAAGAAAGTAGTATAATATATATTCCAGTACTTTACGAAAAAACGTGTCTAGATTTTGTAAATTCTTATCTGGATATGACAGTTTTAACGACCACCTTAACGTAAGAGAATAAATGACTTTTTCAGATCATTAGGCTGATTTCGTTGATTCCTGCTTCGAGATTTACTAACGCGGCCATTAAATGAATCTGACACCAGCAATAACCCTTTATTCTATTGTTCCTAATGGTGTAGACTCTGTCTTGAATTTTGGCTTCATTCCACCTCATTAATTTTTCTGTCACTGCGTTGTGAATAGATTCTCGAAAGGGTTTTGTGGGTCCCCACTTAAGTCTGTGACGTATTCAGTATTTAATCAACCACCTCGTACTTGTTTCTTCTACGAAAAAAGTGAAATAGACTAATTTCTTTTCGATAAATTATCAGTTTATTTCGCAATCCTCATGAACTGTCAATTTGTATGTGTTTATATATCGTATGATTTTTATTGTAGAATGAAAATATTTGTGATAAGGTTTAAAAGCTTTTTAAAGAGTATATTAACATTCAGGAGAAGTTATTAAACCCACTTAATGAAAAGGTGAGAGTATTAATTGCAGAAATTTTGCAGTTACGTGATTCAAAATTCATGTGTACGCACTTCAAATTTTCTGGGGGCGATTAGCGGCGTCAAATTTGAGACCTGATGTCTCTCCACCATCAGGGTCGATGGACTGCATTGCATTGCCTCATGCTTAATGGTCCCCCAGAAGAGCCAGAGGGAGTTTTATTCGCAGTAAATTTCCGCACATAGCCATTTTAAGTTGCATCAGACCATATGATCCTTCTGCAATGCGGTATTCTTTTGTGAACAAAAGATTTTTAATTTCCTGTAAGAGTTTGCTTTATTTTTTTATCATTAAATGGCGGTGTGACTGTTCAATTTATTCATCGTCAGCTCTTTCAAAATTCACTT